GCGGAATGGCCTGCTGAAACAGCAGCGAAGGGAGAAAGCCCCTGATGGCAACAGGAACAACTGACTACAACGATTCAAAATGCTGAACAGTAACTAACGCAATGACTGATCACCACATCCGTCACACTGTGACTTCGCAGGATAGACACTACAGAGCAGTGATAAAATGTCTGTGCAAAATCTTTTATGAACACAGTGCAGAGCCATTTCCCGCATGGTTATAATTAGTGGCTTTCAACCGCACGGCACGAGTTTGATCCCCCTCGAAGGAAAAGTGTTCAATCGGGGGGTGGGGCACTCTCGCAGTTCGTTAGTACACTACTTTGCACCTAGAATGCCGGGTTGAAACCACTGCCGCAACGTTCGTTTTCTCTCATTAAATAGCAATTCTCTTGGGCAACGAATCAACACCACTGTGCTTCGGTTCCACCAACCGAAAAATGGGTCGTTGGCCTGCTGATAATAAGGACATGGTGCTTTGGCGTGGTATGCTGTCTGATGCATGCGCGTTACGGTACCACTTCGCCTTGACCTGCCTAAGAGTTGACCAAAATCAGCATAGGGTGTAAACTTTAACTGAATTTAATTAATTAAAGTTAAGCGCATACTTGCATATAGTAGACATATATCGACTTCGCGTAATACGAGTATATTAAAATTTGGCCTTACGCAAGTCAAGATGCCATCAAAAGAAAACTGCAAAGCATAACAATATATTATACAAATATAAAGAACGTCTCTAAGACTTTTTCAGAAGAAAGAAAACACGAAGGAATAAACTGCTGTCAGGTCAGTGAAGCTTTACGTGAAAAAGAAAATATGCCAATAACAACAACAGCGGTTGCACCTAGTAGTTATTGTCACAATGGATAGTCAGCAGTGATGTGAGTCAACGCGAATCAAAGCCTTCATAGGCGTCAGGCAGCATGGCCTTACCTCTCGTCCGTTTTCGTATGACAACATTAGAAAATTATATCGCCCCTGTTATACACAGTTTCGCGACCTGGTACGCTTTTCTCGGCTCGCTGTGATGAAGCAACGCCGCTTCTCCTTTCCGGTCGCGGAGGCAGACACGTCATAGAGAGCTTCCAATGTTCACGATCCTGTGCCAGAGTCTGGGCTTCGGCAAAAGACAAATGGAGTCTGGAACAGACTCCTTCCATATATTTGCACCAGGTTAATCTTGTCCGTCCCCTGAGCCTTCTGCTGGTCAGTTTGGCAAGAAACGGTTCCTTAGCCTTCCTTCCTGGAGGCATTCGCAACACACGCCCAACCCATCGCAGCTCCAACTTCTCAATATGGAGAAGCAGAGGCTGTGCTACAAGGCTCTCTCGGATGTCAGCACCGGACCATGTCGAGACGCGTAAGACCAGCGACTCGTCTAAGAAAGCCCATTTCAGCAGCTTGCACCCGGGTTCGAAGTTTTTCAGTGATGGTCTACGATTCATGACCGTACGTAAGTATGGGGATAAAGATCGACTTGAATATTGAGAGCTTAGTTTTCAGACTCAGCTCTGCTTTAGTCACAATGGGTCGGGTTAGTTCACGCAGAACGCCACTGGGTACTTCAGTTCGCCGGTCGATCTCTTCCTCCAACTTTCAAAGACAAGTAAATTCAGTTCCGAGGTACTTGAACTTCTCCACCTGCTCCACTGCCTCTCCCTTAATCTGAAGACAGCAACGGGCAGGAGAACGAGAAAGCACTAGGATTTTCGTTTTAGATGCGTTCACAAGCATGCCGGTCACGTCGCACTCGGCAGTGAACCTTTCTAAGTAGCACTGAAGATCAGTTTCAGAAGATGCTAATAAAACAAAGTCGTCTGCAAACAGCAACCTTCTCGACTTCACGTCTCCTACACCGCTACCCTCATCGCCTTGGCTCCTCGTCTCTATTCTACCACTAAGGAGAAGGGACAGGACGCAGCCTTGGCGGAGACCTGTGCGAACGTTGAATGTTTTCGACTTAACGCCATTAACTCCGACACAGCACCTGCTATCAGAATACAGTGATTGCATGGCCCTTAGCAGCTGGCCATCAATCCCGTATGCGCGAAGGCTTGTCCACAGACTATTGCGTGGGATCCGGTCGTACGCTTTCTCTAGATCCACAAAACAGATTTACACCGACTGGGCAATACATGGTCAGAGGTGCTTTGACCGGGCCGGAAGCCACACTGCTCTTCTTGGATCTTGAGGTCAACTATTTCACGGCTCCTTCTTTCTAGCACGTTTGCGTAGACTACCAGGGAGGCTCAATAACGTTATGCCCCTATAATTGGAACCTTCCTTGTGGTCTCCCTTCTTGAATAATCGTACAATAACTCTTATTCTCCAGTCCGCTGGTGTCTTTCCCTCAGTCATCTCAGTTTGACAGACACGTGTTAGCCAGCGCATGCCTTGAGCATCTCAGGGCGGTTTTCGTCAATTCCAGCAGCTTTCCCATTTTTCAAGCTTTTCACAGCTTGTGCAATTTCATCTACAGATACAGTAATATCCATAACCTTCTGCTCTACAGGCCAGTCTTCCTGCTGTTGCGCGGGGTTAAGGAGTTCTTCAAAGTACTCCCTCCATCGCCGAAGAATGTCATC